GGATTTGGGCCCTATTATGAGAGGTCAATTTTTGCCTCCTTTCCCTAATTAGCCTCAGGTCCACCTTATGACGGGGAACGTCGCCTGGGAGGCCGGCCGCCATTGAGATGAGTTCATCACCTGATTTTGTGTCATCAGAATCCTCATCAGTAGAGGAGCTGGCGGAAGATTCCTCCGCCTCCGCCCTAGTCTCCGTCGTCGCCTCATTTGAACAACTGGCAAACGGGACGTTTATGACATCCACAACGGCGACATCATGATCATCCCCTTGGGAAGCCATTTCCGAAGCAGAAGGATGCGATTGAGGTCTCATACCGACCAGACCGAAGAAAAAGAGGGCTAATTTGAAGGGATGAAGAATACCTGAACACGAAAGATTTGGGGAAAGATAGAGAGAAGGCAGGACGAAAGCTCAAAGGAAATAAGAATTCAAAACCCCTGTCCAAGGAATTCAAGGCCCATTTATAGCCTGACAGGCGCCGAATCAGTAACCAATCAGAAGGAGACACGTCACCTAGACCATTTGAAGGGACATGTGTCGCATGGAAAAGCAAAGATCAGTAATCATGACGATTATGGGAAAGACCAAACGACAGCCGCAAGAAAGGCACTAATCAAGGCATGGGGAATCAACAAGCTCTGGATCCCGATCACTATTCGGCAGGTAACTTCTACTTCCCAATGCACTCACTACCGTTCGAGACATCGGAAGTGGGGGACTCGTGTTGGGATATTGGGCTGCAGGCCCAATACCCGGATCCAAGGCCCAAGATATCCAGTCCGTTAAATGGGCCCATCATCCAGAAAATGAACCAGCTCTTGGGAAAATATGTACCGAACGAGGTTCGGATCAATTAACATACTTGGGCCAGATCACTAATGGGCGAGATCAATAATGACTCCAGATCAATGTACCGAATGGGGTTCGGAATAACCAGTGTACTTGGGCCAGATCAACGAAGATTCCAGCAGGGTCCATTGCCCGTTCGGGCAGCGGGTAGCCAACAAGTGACAGGGAGCATTTATTGCTAAAGTATGTCGGCAGCTAGTGGGAGCATGGGTTCCAAGTGGCTAGATAAAGCAACCAATCAACATGAAGTACCCCATACCCCCCATTAGTATAAATAGAAGGATTAGTTTCATTGTAAAGGGTTAGCATTTTCATACTCAAGCCTAGAATAACATTATCTCTCTGATTTCTTGTATTAGTTACTATTCCGACATACTGTTCGGGTAGTTTACCGTGTAATAGCCAAATTACTTAATATAAGTGGGCTTTTGAGTATTCGTTGATCTCATCTTTTATATTTCTTTTATACACTGAATTATCGTTCCATTTCCTGATATATCCAAGGTTTGTGTTGGGCTTTCGGATCTACGGGATTAAACCTCAACAACTATTTTTCTGTCGGTGGCAGCAGCTGCGCCGCCATGGGTGGTTGCAGGAAGCGCTATGCTGCTTGCGAGAGCGAGCTAGATGCCGGGATGGCCGAGCTCTTGGCGGTTTTGGGGTACAGGGCTAGTCATCTAACATGGTGACGGTTGCGCAGAAGCTTTGGCAGCTTGAAGAGGTGATGTGTAGTGTTAAGCGGCACGAACTAGTTGTCGAATTTCACATCGGAAACCGTCCACTACAACCCTTCAGATCTCCCGTCGTGGGTCGATTCCATGATTTCTTAGCTCAACACATACAGGCTTCGTAATCCCCTCTTGATTCTCCAAATCCATCCCCAATAAATGTTTGGAAAAGTTACTGCAGGGGATTGGGATTGGGATGAGTTTCTGCAAGGGATTGGATTTCTCTGAACTTAGGGCTCCTAAAGGTGGGATTGAATTTTGGGATAGCCATCCATGGAAAAGTTACTGCAGTCTGCAGGGGATTGGGATTGGGTTTCTACCGGAGAAAGCCAGATTTTTTTGTAGGTACATTTTCATTTATCTTAGAAACTAGTTTAGCAACGCGCGATGCGCGTTTTGTGTAAATGCCCAAGAACATTGAAGCTTATTACTTCATCATGTTAGGTTGAGTGAATGCATGAGTAGTTTGATTAAATTATTTGTATACATAATTTGTTAGAAATTGATAAACAAACTATATGAAGAAAATGTTTGTAGCTTGGATTGTATGGGGGAAATAAAGCAAAAATGACTATAATAACCATAATAATAGGATAAGATTCATATCAAATCAAATAGTAACAAAAACAAAAATGTGTTGTTAGAAGAAAGAGTCAAATATTTATTGGATTGTAGTGCTTGGTGAAAAGTAAGAGTTTGAGGAAAGCAACTTTATTAATAAAAGTGGTGGAAAAAGTCAAAGTAATTGAGTTGTATTCTTGCACTCTAAATAAAAAAGTGAGTCCTCTGATTCCGAGTGTGGGAGCTTCATCTTTGATGAAGGCCAAGTGGGGTTGGTGGATCAATGTTAGTAGCAAAGATGTAGTGAGATGCATCATACAAGGACGTTATTGTGTATGAGGAGCTTGGCTTGATAAGTACTTGTCTGTGACCTCATTTGTACACCATAATCTTCTTTGTCCAAGCGTTCGTTTGCATATTGAAGTGATGTCTTTTTCCCTTCAAATTTTATATTGAGGAGTTAACCTGTAACATACTCGGCTACTTTACATACATTGAATTTAGTATTGAACAAAAAGAAGATAAATATCAAAACTATTTTAGACAAAACATCATATTTTTTAATCTTTGAAATTCATTAGGTTAAAGCATCCAAACATTTATAGAGTTAATTCGATATTTGATTGCTCCATATGTGTGTGTATCAACTTGGTGGACTTGAGTATGATTTTATCTGATAAAATAAGCATAGAAAAAAAGACTACTATTTTAAGTTACCCCATGTTAAGATGTTATATTTAGGGCAACATTTTCAAAAGAGTACTTCAACTAAGCAGTTAGTTATCCATGCACTTCCAACCAGGTCATGTATCATATGTTATTAAAGTTTTCTTGAGAGCTGAGGCATACCATCATATACAGTCTCAAAAAACAATGATGTACACATGCTAGATAAATAACTATATGGAAGAACATGAAAAGGAATCTAACCTATATATTTGCAGTCGCCAAAACATTAAAGCCTAATAATAGAGTATTATTTAATTTAGAATCTACAAAGAGACTTTCCATCATTTGCAATGGAGCCAAAGGTTAACTATTTTTTGACTTGAGAATATGATGGGATAAAGCAAAATGGCTCACTAAACTGTTTGTGCTTCTTTATTGTGAAGCAACAGTCGGTCCATGTATTTTTCGACGCGATTTTCACTATGTGTCATTCAGAAACAGTCTCTTTGTACTTTAGTACAGGGGTAAGGCTGCATACATCTGACCCCCCCTTACCCCACCGTAGGTGGGAGCCTTTGCGGCACTGGGGTAATGCGGATGATGATGATTATGAGAATCTACAAAGAGAATAACACTTAATATGTTCCTAACTCCATATTGTGAGCTGCTCTAATGACGTCTGTTATATTACTTGGGATACTATAAGTTAATAGGTGAGACTTCATTTTCTTAAAAGACAGATGGGTTGTGTAATAGGATGACCCAAAACAAAGAGTTGCAAAGCATAAGCATGCCCAGATCTCATATCCTAACAAGAGATATGTGATTTTCAAACTTAAACATATCTGCATGCTTAATCTAACTTTTAATCTAACTGCTTGTTAATAAAAACACTTAAGCATAAACATGCCCCTATTTTAGTACCCTCTTTTGGAATGTAATTCAGCCTAACCTCACTTAATCTAACTTTTTAGTCCCATTTTCGAAATATTGTTTAATTTAGCTTTGAGGAAGCTCAATTGGAGCTGCTCCTATTGTAAAATTTGGTAAACTTGAGCTTCAAAGAAATAAATAATATTAGTTAACTAACAAAGATATTAGTTAGGTGTATGAGCTTGTAAAAAGCTCCATTTTTTCATCCTGAAAAGATTGCAAAAACCATTCCCATAGCAGTCCCCGCATTGAACACATATTAAGGAAGCAGGGAGTTTGAAATGTCTTGCTAAGGTCGTCTTAAACACCTATTCTAAAAGGACAATATTATAAAATAATATACTATGTACACATTTAGTTCATATTTGTAAGTGTGAAAATCACTACTCAAGGAACATAACTTATTTTCTAAGCCTAGTGAGAGAACTCCATGGAAACAACTACTCAAGGAACATAACTTATTTGCTATTGTTGTCTTTTTTAACTTTACCAAGGTTAGCAGCCCTGTGGCTAATTGTTTCTTCAACTAAGGTTAAATTAAAATGAGGTATATTGGGTAAGCAATATGCAGCGTGAGAGATTTGCGTTAAATCTAGTGAAACCAACTCCATTTTTGCCCTCCGGTATAAACAAAGAATCATCACCAAAGAAAACTCTAACTAATCTCCCAAAAATATTACCATCAAAAGTGATAGTAATGTATTTGTTAACAACTAATCTGGACAGAGATATTCCAGGCTAGAGTTTAGGCAAAGATGCACCCAACCAGACGGCCCCATCAAGATCAAATTCAACATCTCATAAAAGACCATGGTTACTCTCACTAATGCAAATAGAAGAATCTGATATATTAAAAGAAAAGAGTTTACTTTCAATAATCAAATCTTCTATAAGTTCCAAATGTGTAGCCCGTCGAGCAGGAATGCATTGCCAACTTTTGTGAGAGCCGAGATTCATTCACCCCCTTTCGGATTGACACACACCATCGCAGAAGGACCTTAGGCACTGTCGACCTGCAGAAGAAAATCTGCCCTCCCTAATATTAGCTTTTTTTACATCAATAAATAAATAAATTTTGTAGTTTTATATTGAAGGTTCTCATAGATACAAGACACAGTAACATCCTTTTAAAATAAATATATATTGGAATGTTAGCATGAGGCCTACCCTTTGGTTCTCATAATAGTAATGCTGCCTTTACCTCCTTCTGTACGGATTTTAGTCTTCCCGACAACCGGCTTGCTCGAAAAAGAAGATATGGGGTGCACAACCACAGCCTTTTCAGTTTTCTTGGGCAATGCTGGAGTCCTGATGTGTTTGTTTATATCATTGAGAGTCACATCTCCATGAGCACCACACGGTTTAACAAAATCAAATGGAGTCCAGATATTAGATTTCCTACCTTTAAAGATGATATTTCTTTGAGTTCGAACAGGATGAAGCTTTTGAGGTACATCATTAACCTCACTCTCGAGATGTTTGTCGGAAAACTCACTCTGAATACCTGATGTTTCATCAGCAGACACACCACTATTCAGATTTCCAGGACTGGTGTGCATCTCTGCATCATTAAAGAACTCAGCATTCCATCTCTCAGATGATTGATCCAGGTTCTCATTACTGGATGCAGACATATCAGCAAATTCTGAAACCCATTGGGATACTTCTGACTTTGAACTCTCAGCCTCTTTGTAAGCAACAGTTGATTTCACCAATGCCGATGGCATTCCCACATTGTCAAGGGAGTCCAGGCCTTCTCATCCAAACTCTAACATTTGGCGCTTTTTTGCTTGAGACAGTGGTTCCTTATCACTGATTTCACAACTGCTAAACTGGCAAGGGAAATCTCCAAATGACTTGACTGGAGTTGTTTTTTCATCATCAAACATGAAGGGAAGATCTTCATCTTGGCTCAATAGGAACTTTGCTATGTCTGTTTCAGTGTCGTCACCTTGAGAAAAGTCCTCACTCCATTCCCACATTCTTCAAGCGGATTTCTTCTCAATTCATGTGGCCTTTAGTATGCTTCTAACGGCCGCTGCAACTTTTAAGGGCTAGCTTGAACAGTTGAACTATTGAAGGAAGGATCGCCCTCCCTAATATTAGCTCCTGCTGGTGGCGGTGCCTGGGCGTTCACTGATGTGGCATGTCATCGCCGGAGTAGATTCCATGCCGTTTCCTGGTAGGTGGGTCGCGACTGGTCGTGGTCGCCTGTGGTATATCCGCCATAGCACACAGGGGCGGAATCTTGTTGTCGTTCTTGAGGATCTGCTGGGGAGGTAGTTCCCATCTGGAATATGAAGAATGGTGGCCTCCCTATAATTGAAAGGTCACAGAACTAAATAGGATGCTGGATTCGGATCTTATGCTCGTCCCAATCGGGCCGGTGACGACGCTGGGATTCCCTATTTTTGCCAGAGCCCGTGTTGAACGTGTGTTAACGGAGGAAACGTCTAGTTATGTACACAATTATAATAATTATAATTGTACAACTCTCACATTCGAGGAGTACCACCCTACATAACATCAAGGTACACCAACACATTTTTTGTGACCATTATACCCCTAACATTATTCATGCTTATAAGATTGTAGAGAAGTTACATTTGTATGAAAACAATTTACATTTCCATTCATCTCAAGTTACATATCTATTCACACGAGTTACATATCAACTTTCCTCAGCATGTTACATCTTGTTTACACGTGATTTACATTTTTCATAATGCGAGTTACACCACAATATAATGTGAGTTACACAACAACATATACCCATATTGTTCAAAGAAAAATTATTATTTTATAAAAAATACATTTTCATGGCCCTGATATTAAAAACAAAACATATACACTATTTATGTGAAATAATTGGGCACTTAGACTCCTTTTCTCATTATTTACATTGGAATTAACATTATAATCTATATTAGACAACTTACAATTTCAACTTGACTCAAGTTACATTTCTTATCAATGTGAGTTACATTGTTTTAAACATGAGTTACACCAGACGGTTGAAATTAAGAAAAAGGAGCCATAGGAGCATGCAGCATGCTCATCGTGAGCCGCTCCCACCAGTGGCGGACCTAGTACTTACATTTTGGGTGTTCAAAATTACACATTTTCTCTTTAAAATACTATTGAACAAATTATTACTCTAATTAAAATATACATATTCCTGTTGTTTTTTTATTTTTGGGTGCTCATGTGAACACCCTTGCATAAAGCACATCCGCCACTCGCTCCCACGGTATACCAACTCAAGGTAAACGGCTCATATGTATTGGCCGCAATAGCAATTGGCATAACAAACATCTTTTTGTGAGTAAATTAATAAAAAAAATGGCATAATTATTAGAAAACACATTGTCACTGTTATAAAAATGTCCATTATTGAAAACAATGACAATAGTATAAAGATGGCATTGGTTTTATAGAAAAACATGTTTCACATTGTCACTATTAATATAAAAATGACATTGTTATTAAGAGCATGACATTTTCTATTTTCTTCACACTGTCATGATTAGCAACACAATATAATGTCAATACCATTATATTATTTGAATCAAATAACAGTGACAACCTTTACCGATCGATCACCTTGATGGTTAAAATGAATTAAAGTTGACACACCAAGAATACTAGTTAAAATGAATTAAAGAAGTATTAATAAAAAAGAAATTAACATTAAAATTAAACTTCTACATGTCATAACTTCTATGAGTAACAGGAGAATTTCGTAAGTGGAATTTACCTTTCCATTTCAAATAACAGTAACAGGGGAATTTAGTACATGGTTCAATAAGACCCATGATCTATGAAGTATAAATAAAACTGCAACTAGTAATTCTTTTGCAACAACTGCAACTAGTAATTGAGTAGATAGATCTGAGGAAAATAATAGTTAAAATTTTCTTCCAAAAAAATAGTTAAAATTTTACAATTTTAAAAAGGAAATTAGGAAATACGGAGTAGAAAGAAAAATTTAGTAGCAAATCGAAAAGGAATCACAACCAAAATAAAGAAGACAGCAGAAAAGAAGAAAAAGAAGTCGCAGATGAGAAGTAAGAGAGAGAGAGAGAGAGAGAGAAAGCGGCGATGGAAGGAAGAAGAGGAGAGAAGAAGGAGAGGAGGAGAGGAGAAAGAAGAGCATATCTGCAACATCTTCGCCGGAGCTGACGGTACTTCGTCTTCCATCCATCATCTCTTCGTCGTCAACTTGGCCTGTTGTCACCGTGCGACTGCGCTGCGTCATCTTATTGACTTCTGCGTCCCGCCTCTGCTGTTCTGCCAAGTAACCGCTCCTTGCCAAGTCGCCTATGGTATGAAAGAGAAGTATGATTGCTTTTGTCGATAGAGACGAGAAAGGGAATAAGGTGTCATAGTATAGAAAACTAGGTAAATTTTCCAATCTATTTTATGAATGGAAAACTTGTTAAAATTAATAAATCAAACATCATTACAATAGATTCAAGATAATTTCAATCCAAATTAAAAGTTGAATGACTAGACTTAGACTTCGCCACCCACAAATGAGCCGCAAAAGTCGCTAACTAATAACAAACAAATGGAAACTTAATTTGATCATGTTGATCTCTATGTTTCTAAACCGGTATGAAAAAAGTACAATTTCTCTAAAAGATTTAAAACGAACGAACAAAGATTATAAAAGTGCATAAATAAGCAAAATTGTAAATACGATTGAAACTAGTCATCCTTGTCCAGTCATGTAGCCGTAGCACCCTCACTTGATTCCAATTCTTTTAAGCATCAAAATATTTATTTTAAAGGAACATTTGGAATAAAGGGTGGCACCTGAGCACTAGGCCGCACTAGGCCAATAAAAAAAAACATTTTTTACCTTAAAAATTAAAGCGATTTTTTAATTTGGGGTGGGTCAGGGTCTCTAGGTTCCCCCTAGATCTGCCTATGTTTGGAGTTGCATCTCATTCACGGGATTTAAGAGATATTTGATTTTAAGTAAACACCTTTCTTTTTCAGCTCACTCATTGTCGATCCACTCTTCCATATGAAAGGTTGTGATTTCAAAACTCCATAGAAGCAGTTGTAGACTTCTAGTCATATTTACCAGAGGCCCCCAATCCTCCATAAAACGCTGGGATTATATCTTACAAAGCTATAAAAAGCATTGAGGATGAGCATTTAATGGTCACAACAGGATTCACATAAAGGGAGAGAACGAGCATGTAGCAAAAAGTTATATTTCAATTTATTATACATCAACACATCATAAAAGTAGGGATCTATCAGGGTATAAATGTATAATGGATTGTAGAGAAAACAATACTTTATGGCGGGTGAATTCAAGAAGTAGATAAAACTTTGTATAGTAGTAAGTAGTAGCCGTTAAAACTTAAGACATATGTACTCTCATAGTGTGAGAAGCCTTGCTCGTTCAACAATGGGCAAACCCCCCAAACTTCATGGTTTTTCATGAGAAAAGGAAATAAGAATGGGTGAGCTTAACTTCATGGTTTATGGTAGATCTGCACGAAAACTTAAAAAGGGACACGTTATTAGAGATCTTTCTGTAATATTTTAAGTCCATTTGGTAACAATGTAATTGCTCGAATCTGGTGAATTAAAATTTATATTCAATATAATTTACTAATAAAAATATGGGGAGAAAGTTAGGACATGTTTACTAACAAATATATTTTCATGTTTTCTATTTCTGTTTTCGGTTCTCCAATTTTCTGTTTTCATTTTCCAGTGTTTCGATATCCAATTTTTAGTTTTCATTTTTTAGTTTTCCATTTTCAAATATGAAAACATGTTCATACAATTATTTCATCTGGTTATGTGACTGACTAAAAGACCGAAAGTACGGTCCCAATCCGGAACCGAACCTAGTACAACTTAAGTAGGGTACGGTATCCCACGTATAGGAAAGTCGGGACCGAAATCGGCCGATCTCAACAGTTAATTTGATGAATTCTTTTCTCATTTCCCTATTGGTTGACAACTCAATGGCTCTTTTAAAACTCTTCACTTTAAAAAATGATTTCAAAAAACCGAGACTGAACCGCCGGGTCATTGACCGGCCCAGACAAGGACTATCGGGTCGTTTACGGGACTGAACCGAGACTACTCGGTTGTTGATCGAAGTGAACACAGACCGTCAGATCATTTTCCTTACAAAATAGGGACCGCTGGGTCGTTGATCGGATAGGACGGGAACCGCCGAGTGGTTGACCGAACAAGACGGAGACCGTCGGGTCATTGATCGGACCGAATGGGGACCACCCAGTCTTTGACTAGACCGGATCGGACCTGGACTGCCCGATCGTCGATCGGACTGAACAAGTACCGCCTTATCATGGATCGGACCGAACAGAGACTGTGGGTTCATTGACCAGACCAAACAGGGGTTGCCGGGTCATGGACCGGACCAGGACAGCTGGGTCGTCAACAGAACTGGGACCGTCTGGTCGTTGACCAGACTGGACCGGCATTGCTCGGCCGTCGACCGGACCGGACATGGATCGTCGGGTCAATGACTGAACTGGACCGCCGAGTCATTTAGCGGACCAAATAGGAACGGTCGGGTCGTTGATCGGATCGAACTAGAACTGACACCAAAGCGGGACCGGATCCAACACTAGCTGTAATTATGCAAATTCACTGCAGTGGCACAGCGGCACACACAAGGAAACTGAAATTGACTACTTTTTAGTACGGACGACTTGGAGAACTAGCTACACTGATTGTAAGGTTATCCCAGGTGAGAGTGCTTTCACTCAGCAT